TTTTGATAAAATTCTATTTTATAATATTTTTATGGATTATACTTTTGGTGTCATATCTAAGAAATCTTTGCCTAACCAAAAAGCACAAAGATAGCCTCCAGTGTTTTCTTCTAGATGTTTTAAAGCATTAGGGTTTGTATTAAAGTCTATCTATGAGTCATCTTGAGTGAATTTTTGTATATGGCATGAGATATGGATTAAAGTTCATTTTTTATTTTATTTTATTTTATTTTATTTTATTTTATGTTTTGCATAAGACTCCAGCAGCATTTGTTGAAAAGGTTTTTGTTTCTCCATTGAATGATATTTGTACCTTTGTTGACCACATAAGTATGGGTTTATTTTTTTTTACTTTTCATTCTATTTTGTTGATATATTTGTCTAACCTTTTTTTTAAAAAAAGTATATTTTTATTGATTTCAGAGAGAAAGGGAGAAGGAGAGAGAGATAGAAACATCAATGATGAGTGAGAATCATTGATTGGGTGCAGGAATTGAACCGTGACCTCCTGGTTCATAGGTAGACACTCAACCACTGAGCAACACCAGCCTGGCTTGTCTAACCTTTTGCCAACACCACATTGTCTTCAAAACTATAGTTTTACAATATCTGTTGAAATCACATAGTGTGTGTCTTCTAACATCTTTCTTTTTCAAAAGTATTTTGGCTATTCTACTTTCTTTGCCTTTCCATATATTGTTTTTAATTAGATTACTAATTTTTACAAAATCGTCTTCTCTTATTTGGATTTTTATTGCATTTAATCTATACATCACTTTGGGGAGAATTGACACCTTAACGATATTTTGTCTTCCAGTCCATGAACAATGTACAACTTTTCATTTTTTTAGGCCTTTTTTGATTTCTTTTATAGTGTTTTGTAGTTTTCTGAGTGCAGATCTTACACATATTTTAGTAGATTTAAACTTCAATACTCCATGTTTTGGAGGAGCTATTACAAATAGTAATTTTTCAGAGCGTCAGCCTGCAGATTGAAAGGTCCCAGGTTCGATTCCGGTCAAGGTCATGTACCTTGGTTGTGGGCACATCCCCAGTGGCGGGTGTGCAGGAGGCAGCTGATCGATGTTTCTCTCTCATCGATGTTTCTAACTCTCTATTCCTCTCCCTTCCTCTCTGTGAAAAATCAATAAAATATATATTTTTTAAAATGGTAATTTTTCAAATGTCAATTTCTAATTATTCATTTGAGATTATATAAATGTGATTGGCTTTTTTATATTGGCCTTGTATTCTGCAGTCTTGCTAAATTCTCTTACAATTTATAGTAACTTTTAAATAGATTCTTTGAGATTTTTCTTTGTACACAATTTGTATCATCTATAAATAGAAATGATTTTCTTTTCCAATATAAGTGCCTTTTCCTTCTTTTTCTTACCAAATTTCACTGGCTAGTATGTCCAAGAGTGGTGAAACAGACATCCTTGCATAATTTCCAGTCTTAGGTAGAAAGCATTGTCTTTTGCCATTAAGTATGTTAGCTTTAGGGGGTTTTGTTTGTGTGTGTGTGTGTGTGTGTGTGTGTGTGTGTGTGTGTTTCTTTTTATTAATCCTCACTCAAGGATATTTTTTCATTGTCTTTTAAATTTATTTTATTTTTTTAAATTCTTTATTATTGAAAGTATTACAAATCTCTTTTTTCCCCATTAGTCTTTCCCAACCCACTCCCGCCCCCCAGTACAGGCCCTCACCCCCCTATTGTCTGTGTCCATTGGTTATGCTTATATGCATGCATACAAGTCCTTTGGTTGATCTCTTACCCCCACCCCCTCCTATCCTCCCCTGCCTTCCCTCTGACATTTGACGATCTGTTCCCTGCTTTTATGTCTCTGAATCTACTTTTGTTCATCAGTTTATGTTGTTCATTATATTCCACTAATGAGTGAGAGATCATGTAATACTTAACTTTCTCTCACCGACTTATTTTGCTTAGCATAATGCTCTCCAGGTCCATCCATGCTGTTGCAAATGGTAAAAGTTCCTTCTTTCTTACACCAGCGTAGTATTCCATTGTGCAAATGTACCACAGTTTTTAATCAACTCATCTGCTGATGGGCACTTAGGCTGTTTCCAAATCTTAGCTATTGTAAATTATGCTGCTATGAACATAGAGGTGCATATAATCTTTCTGATTGGTGTTTCTGATTTCTTGGGATATATTCCTAGAAGTGGGATTGCTGGGTAAAATGGGAGTTCCATTTTTAGTTTTTTTGAGGAAACTCCATACTGTTCTCTACAGTGGCTGCACCAGTCTGCATTCCCACCAGCAGTGTATGAGGGTTCATTTTTCTCCACATCCTCGCCAGCACTTAATCATTTGTTGATTTGTTGATGATAGCCATTCTGACAGGTGTGATATGGTACCTCATTGTCATTTTGATTTGCATCCATTATCTTTTTTTTTTTTTTTTTGAGAGAGAGAGAGAGACAGTGGAAGGAAAGGAAGAGACAGAGAGAGAGAACATCAATGTGACAGAGACAGATCACTTAGTTGCCTCTCGCATGTGCCCTAACTAGGGCTGGGGATCAACCCTGCAACTGAGGTACATGCCCTTGAGCAGAATTGAACCCAGGACCCTTCAGTTCTCTGGCCGATGCTCTATCCACTGAGCCAAACTGGCTAGGGCTATAAATTTTTTATAGATGGCCTTTATCAGTTTGAGAAAGGCCTTTTCTTAGTTTGTTGAGAGTTTTGTCATGAATGGATGGGTGTATGATATTGTCAAATATTTTTTTCTGTATCTTTTTCAATGATTGCATGTTTTTTTTTTCAGTTTGTTGATGATAAATTATATTGATTGAGTTGTGAATGTTGAATTAGCCTTTAATTACCAGAATAAATCCCATTTGCTCATAAAGTATTATCCTTTTTACATATTGTTGAATTTAATTTGCTAAAATTTTGAATATTTTTGTATCTATGTTCATGAGGGATAATTGTTTATCGTTCACAAGGATACATCCATTTAATCTAAGTTGTTGAATAACTTGGTGTAATTCATAATATTCCTCAGTTATTGATAATATTCCCTTTTTATCTTTTTAGTATTTGTTGGATTTATAATGCAGTCCTCTCTTTTACCCTAATATTGGTAATTTGCATCTTCTCTCTTTTTAACTTTGTTAATCTTGCTAAAAGTTTTATCACTTTTATTGGTCTTCTTAAAGAACCAGATTTTAGTTTCATTGATTCTTTTTCTATTGATATCCTGTCTGTAATTTTATTAATTTCTGTCTCTCTCTCTCTCTCTCTCTCTCTCTCTCTCTCTCCCCCCCTTTCTTTTATTTACTTTTGGTTTATTTTGTTCTGTTTTGTCTAGTTTCTCAAGGTATTGATCTTAGAAACTTTTCTCCTTTTCTAATATAGGTATTTAGTGATATAAATTTCCCTTTAAGTACATCTTTGGCTGAATTTTGATACGTTGTGTTTTCATTTTCACTTAGTACAAAATGCTTTTCTAATTTACCTTTTCATTTATTTCTTCATCCCAGGGGCTATTTGTAAGTTACTAGCGTATTAAAAGTGTCTTCTCAGACTGGATTTGGGTGTAATATTTCTTTATATAGTTTTATGTTTTTATTTTATTCTTTTTGTGTATTGGTATATGTCTTTTAATTTTCTATATTGAACATGCATTTTTTTTCTAATTAGAAAATAATCGGTTAATATAAAATACTCTACATTTTATAGCACTTTATAATTTACGAACAGTTTCATTAAATCCTCCAACATCTACATGAGAAACACATAATTCATTTTTCACAGATGTTGAAACCTGAGATTGAGAGAGTTTAAATGACTTTCTCAATGCCATATAGCTAGAGTGAGTGAGGATTTAAACCCAGATTTTTTAATCCTAGTTTATCATTTCAAAGAAGCTGGAAATAAAGATTTGAAAAGTAAATTGCAATTTATTGTGTGGATAGTTAGAATTATAGAGGGTCTTTGAAATAGTACGCAACTTGGGACAATGATCTCTGTGTAGTTCTAATTTTAATCTCTAATTACTAGTGCTGTGAACATGTTTTCATGTTTATTTTTTGTTCCTATTTCTTCTCTAAATTGCTATTACTGTCCTCTATTAAGTTGAATGAGAGCAAGGACTGTGTTTGTTTGCTTGTTTATTTTGTTAATCCTCACTTGAGAATATTTTTGCATTAATTTTTAGAGAGATTGGAAGGGAGGGAGAGAGGGAGAGAGAGAGAGAAAAAACCATCAATGTAAGAGAGACACATTGATTGGTTACCTCCTTCACACACCCTACCCCAACCTGGCCAAAGATGAGCTGCAACCCAGCTATCCATGCCCTTGACCGGGAATCAAACCCGCAACCTTTGGTGCGTGGGCCGATGCTCTAACCACTGAACACACAGGCCAGGGTAAACTGTGTGTATTTTGCTTACCATTTTATGTCTAACACTTAGCATTGTGCCTGACAAAACTAAATGCTCCAATATTTGTTTAATGATTTAAGAATGTTAGAATTTGTGGGGAAAGCCATTTATAGGGACCTAACACAATTTATTTCGTCCTACATCACCACGAGGCAACTCTGAGAATGTTCTGATAGATCAGGTTTTTAGATATTAACTTGCTTTTATAAAGCAAGTGGAGCACAACCTTTTTCAAAAGACACATGGCATGCTTCTTTATATTGTCATAACAGAGCAGGAGTTAAGATGTTGGCTTCACTGTCAGGCAAACGTGGGTTTGAGTCTCATGTCGGTTACTTACTGGTTATATGACCCTGGATTTCCCTCATATATAAAATGAGACTAATAGTAGTGCTCACCTTACTGGGTCATTGTTGGATCAAATAAACAAAGCATGTGAAACACTGAGCCATAGTAGATGTTTTGTAAATATTCCCTATGCCTCTTTCCTTGATGTACACTAAAACAGATGTAACCTGTGATTGACTTTGGATTTGTGAATTGGTTGTGCTTTCTAACAGGCATGTTCTTCATCTCCTTCCTCACAGATTCAGAGACATATTGTATGTTTCAAGACAAGAAGTACAGAGTGGGAGAGAGATGGCATCCCTACCTGGAACCATATGGCATGGTTTACTGTGTGAACTGCATCTGCTCAGAGGTACAAACCTTCATGGCATGTGATTTCCAAGTTTGTTCCTCAACATGCAGAGGTGTTTCAGTGCCCAGATGGCCAGGGAGCATGGGTGTTAAAATCCTAAAACAAGATAAGAAACATATCACAAGGAAAATTACACATCTCCTGTCTATTTCCTTTATTGCCTTTTGGGTTGATTTTCATGGGAGCTCTGAGTATTTGCTATGGACATATACTTATGGTCTTTTAGCCAAATGATATAGGACATGAAAGGAGAAGGAAGAATAGCTTGATAGTGGGAGTCAAGGAAAAAGCTCCATGTAGTGCCTGAATTGTAAGGTAACATTGTTGGGGTTTTTTTTGGAAACCATTTTTAAGGCTGGTCTTTAGAGAATAGGGCAGATTATACGTCGGTTCATTGGGAGACTGTATTTTATGTTGTCTTAGTCAATAACTGTAATTAGGATTGAGGTTGTGAAAACTTGGCCTATACCTGGTGAGGATTAGAGTGATTGGCTTGGCCTTGGCTCCTCACAAATCACTGAGAGGCTTTTTGATACCTTAAATGGTATCTTTGCAATAGACAAAGTAGGAAGTCCCATTTTCTTTCCATGGCCTTAATCCCAGACCATAGCTATAATCTATTTTTTCTGAACATCTACCAGGATATCCTAGGCCAGGATTTCTCAGTCTTGACATTTGGGGACAGATAATTCCTAGCTGCAGTGGTTTTTCTGTGCATTATAAGATGTCTAGCAGCATCCCTGTCCTCTACCCACTAGACAACAGTAGCGCTAAACGTAGGAGGAGTGGTTTCTGATGTGCTTTCATCTCACTTCAAGATGACACCACCTGGCTCTGAGGAGCGTGACACATAAGAGGGGCTCTGTGGTACTTCCAAATCAACACTAAAAAAATTTCATCTAGAAAGTACATGAAAAAGAAGGAAGTTTATGGTAAAGTGACTCAGATTTGGATATAGAAAGCCTGCCTCTTTAAAAGATTAGGGGAGCTATTGAATGGAGCATCTAAGGACTGTTTACCTGATATGGCATGATTGTATAAGATTCTTGACTAACACATTGGAAATGGACAGCTAACCCTTGGGGGCTGAGGCTTTGCTGTCTGAAGGATAGTGAAAATGTTAATATGATCCCAATGACAACAGCTCAAGTGCTAGACATCTTTTCTTTCTCCATTCTCTTCATCACTTTCTCCCCCGACAATAGCCTGACAGATACAAGTAACCTTCTCTTCTACTGAATTATGGATGGAAAATGTTAATGAAAATTGATTTCCAAAGTCTTCCTTTGTTCTAGCAATGGTTGAGAGTGGTCAGAGCTAAGGGTCATGTAATTGTAAATCAGGCAAGGACTCAGTTGCCCCACCCATGCATACTAGCTATTCAGCTCAATTCCAAACTCTAGTCTTGTTCTCAGAAAAAAAAAATGACTGAATAGGGAAATGAAGAGAGAAGGCACTCAACCTACTGGACCAAGGCAGGGTTATATAGAATCTAGGATCCGTGTGCTAGGGCTATCTCCTTGCCCAGGGGTGGGTAGCCAGCCCCTCACAGGACTCATGGCTCATTATCCCTTCCCTTCCATGGCATTGAGCAGGTAAGTGTGAAATCAGAACAGGCGCTTGATAATATGTATACTTAGAGCTGGGGAATGGTAGAAACACCACAGAGCCAAGTCAGAAAAAGAAGGCTTTGAAAACTGGAGCATTGGTGATCCTATCTTAGAAAAATATGCCAATAAGCTAACAACCAACCCAGCAGAGGTGCTAGTGATGAGAAAAGGAAAGAAAAATGCTGATTTCATTCTGCTTCTCAGGAATGCATTATTCACTGTCTGGGTGAGTCCCTGCATGATTGTTTCCCAAACTGTCATGATCCCACTGACCTTTGAAAGACATTTGATTTTTTGTTGTTGTTGCTTCCTCTCTTTCAGAATGGGAATGTGATTTGCAGCCGAGTCAGATGTCCAAGTCTTCATTGCCTCTCTCCCGTGCATATTCCTCATCTGTGCTGCCCTCGCTGCCCAGGTAAACCTGTTAGCCTCTTTCTTTCCCTGCTGTGGTTCTCCTTCCTCCCTTTTCTACCCAACTCACTCTATCTCCCTAATTCCCCAGAAGGGAAACTTCCAGACAGAAATAACAATAGGACACTTTTAGGCAGCCCACACTTGCCCCTAAATACTGTTTATAGCCCAAGTGGGGCACATTCTAGGCTCTAATAAGTTATTGGGTACCCAGTAACAGATTTTCATTGGGCTTTTAATCATTTGAAGGTGGATGTCAGTTGGGGGAAGGGAATTGTGGCCCAGAGATTTTTTGCCATAAACAGTTTCTTCCTGCCATGGGAAGTGGGCACCAGGGGAGTTGTAGCATGGTGGCACGTGTCCTATGCAATTAGTGCTGGAATTGCATCTGAGCATAGCTTCTAAATGGTGAGGGGCTCGTCATAAATCAAAGGAGCTGAAATAGCGAGGTTTATGACAGTATAAAGCTGCCTGCCTGCTGAATAGTCACCTCTTCCAGACTGCAGTTATTATGTACACATTGTTAAGAGCAAATCTAAAGGGAAGGCGGGGAAAGACTGTTTCACAAGGCTGTTAGGATGTCTACTTTCACGGTTTGTGGCTAGGGTATTTGTCTGAGGCAAGGGTTCCCTCAATGACACTTTGTTCACATCTGGCTGGGGCCCGGCTCCCAAACCAGAGGCGTGCAAATGTGGAATGATTCAGAGAATGTTTGTGGGTCCAACAGCAGTCCTAGGAAAAGCTAAGTGACAATTTTGGGATCTTGGTAGTAGAAACCTTATAGTCCTCTAAGTCTTTTTTGTCTTCCTCTAGGAAGGAGGTGCTGCAATTGGGGTCGGTGGGTGAGCGTTATGGAGTCAAGGAACCCTTTTAAATTGTTTGCAGTGTTTTGTGTAGCTACAAATATGTGTAAATTCCCTTAGGGAGGATCCATAGTTTTATTGGTATTCTTAAAGGTGCTGGACATGACACTAAACACATGAAGAACCACTAGTGTAGGGCATCAATGGCAATATTTTAAATAGTAAAGAAAGAACTTACAAGAGAGAAACCAAACGTGTTAGGACAAAAATGATAGGAATGGGACTAGGAATGTGGTTCAGTGAAAACTCTGTTAACTGAAATGTTGCTAGAATGAGTTTTTGTTTAATGGAAAATAAATGCCCAGCCCTTTTTGTCACCACCTTTATAGAGTGAACTCTCCTGCATCCGCAAATGCACTTTGATGAACACAAGCGATTCTTTACCAGGTGATAAAATCTCATATCATGTTACAGGCTTATTGTTCTGAGCATTGGTGATGATAATATATGCTCCAAGATGTAAGAGACTGGCCCAGCATATGATCAACCTAAAAGTTGTTTTTTGGAATCAATCCATAAATGAATTAGGCTTACTTTTTTTGTATACGTTTATTTGCTTTTTCTACTTTAACGGTATTACAAGAGTGTGGTATAGGAGGGATTTGGGTAGATTTGAGCAACATTTTTGATAAAGAGGCTAATCTGTGGAGCTTTTTCTTTTATCTGTCAAGTTGCACTCATATAACATTATAACAGTTGTTTTGTTTTTTCCCAGAAGACTCGAAAAGTGGTCTAAAGTCATGGGAATTGAAACTGCTATGTAGAGATTGTTCTTCCTTGAAAAGGAGGTTAAGGCATGAGGCAGACACAGGGTAGAAGAGCATAGAATGGAGTATGGCTGTCATTTACCCCAGCTGAATAGCAGGAAGTAAGTATTGAGAAAAAGTATAAGCCAGAAGTATTTTGAAAGAAAAATAAAGTATTAAAAAATTGAGATCATAAATCCCAGAAAAGAGAAAATTGAAAGAAATAAACACATTGTCTTGAAGACTTAAAAAGCCCATTTTATGGAGCATACATAGAAACCAGCTGTTCCCTTTTTTTTTCTTTCTTGTTCTTGCAAGTCACTTCCTTGTGAGTTTATTTTTCTTCTTGTCAACAATAACCTTTTAGCAGTTCTTCCTGTGGGTAGTGGTATTAAAGTTCCCTAATCCTTTTTTTTTAAATTTTGTTTTATTCCTTAAAATATCCATCTCTGTAAAAAATCAATAAAATATATATATTTTTAAAAAAGAATAGCTGGTTTTCATTCCAGTTCAATAGGGCAGAGAGAGCACATGAGAAAAGTCCTTGTTCTTTTCCAAGAAGAGTGAGAGATAAAATGTAAAATTAAAAATAAATCAATGAACTTTAAAACTTCAAAATTATAGTCAGAAATTAAAGAAGACTCTTATGGAATAAAACATAGAAGGAAAGAAAGTACAGCAATAATTGGGGCCAAAGCCATATTGTCCATTGGCAGTTGGGACTGGATAGAAACAGTTGGGGCCAGGTAGCTGAGCAGGAACTATGGCATACAATTTGCAGGGGAGTAAGGTTATACTCCTCACATGTAAACAAGGACTGATGTAGCTCTGCCCTCCCCATGTTTTCCCCTAAAATGATCTGACTGACTAAGGTAGATCCCAGTCGAAGATCATTATCAGGGACTAGCATTGCATAAGAAAACAGAGGTAAAGACAGACCATCCAGTCATGAGGAAGTCCAAGATGAAACACTAATATACGACCTTGTTTAGAGCTCAGTAAACTACAAGTCCTGAAACAACAATTCCACCAGGAAAGAAGGGAAGAGAAAAAACCCCAGGGATTGTGAGTTTTTTTAAAAAAACTTTTAGAAAACAAAGGGAAATTCAGAACTAAGAAAAGCTCTCAAGAAACCTAACAAAAGTTAGAATTCAAACTTGAAAAAATATAAATATTTGAACAATATGAAATGGATTTTTAAACAGTTAAATGCCTTAAACAAATAAAGAAGAGAATAAAATCCCAAGAAATAATGGCCAGGGTTTATAAAACAGCAACATGTAGATATTTTTAAATATAATTTAAAAGTTGGGGGGGAAACTAAGCTATTGAAAATTAAAACAACAAATAAAACAATAGATGGCATAAATAATAGGCATACAAAGATTGGAGAAAGAATTCATGAGTTGGAGGACAGAATTCAAGTAATATATTATTACAAGGAATATAACAAAATGGAAAAAATAAACAGACTATAGGGTGGTAAAGGCCTGGTGCTAGAGGAGGTCAAGGGGGGAGGGAGAAGGAGATATATGTAATACTTTCAAAAATAAAGGTGTTTTTTTAAAAAATAAAAAAAAATGATAGAAGGGGAAGAGGTAACTTTCACAAAGCTAATGACTAAAAAATAAATAAAAAGAAATTTGAGCCTTTGGGCTGAAAAAGTCATGTGCTGATCAAGCTAAATAAAAATAAATCACACATCTACAAACGTCATTGTGTACATCAAAGGAAAAGAGAAAATATAAAAAGCTAGAAGGAGAAAACAGGTTACCTACAAAAGAACTACAAACAGAAAACTTATTACAAATAAAGGAAGTCAACAAGCCATTTATTAATATCTTCAAAGTGCTGAGGGAAAATAAACATTCACCTATAATTTTACCCCCAGCCAAATTATTATTTAAGAATGAGGGCAAAATAAAGACATTTTTGCATATAAGTATTAGGGAGTAGTGCATGGGAGAGGGATAGAGAGTTAGAAACATCGATGAGAGAGAGAAAAAGAAACATCAATCAGCTGCCTCCTGCACACCCCCTATTGGGGATGTGCCCGCAACAAGGTACATGTCTTTGACTGGAATCAAACCTGGGACCCTTCAGTCTGCAGGCCAAAGCTCTATCCACTGAGCCAAACCGGTTAGGGCAAAACCAGCTATTCTTTATATTGAAGATAAAACAAGAGCAAATGGGTTTAAACTAAGAATGGAGTTTGATAAAAGGAAGAACTTTAGGACATAATTGTCATTAAAACTTAGAATAAGTGACTAAGGAGAATTTTAGTTTCTTTGCTTTATATTTCTGGAAATCAAAAGGTACCCACCCATCTGAGATAGAGTTGGCACAGTTCTGCTTTGAGACAGGGCAATGGATGTTATGACTCTTCTATATTCCTTTTCCCCAGTGATTATTCAGCATGAGGAAGTTCATGACTTCAGGACCACAGGAATGTTTGGTCAAAGGAAGAGGATCTAGTTTTCTGTCTTAACCCAATGCAAGGCACTGTGATGAAAATATCCTGACTTAAAAATAGAATATTTAAAGCTAAGATAATGAAAAAGTTCTATATAAAAGAGAAAACAAACAAGAAAACCATATACCCATGGCTTTAGTTTTACACATTATGCTATAGCAGCAGTATCAACTTCACAGAGTGTTCACCTGGGTAGTGATGAACTTGATTGGTTAAGTCCTACTAGGCATGCCTATAGCTCATCTCCCATTAGAGAGGATAGAGAAACCACCATCCCCGTTTGAGTTTCCCATGGCTCTTGCTTTCTACACTCCTCACTCCTGAAATTTTCAACACTCCTGCAATTTCCAAGGTTCTGACCTGCATTTGAGGTTATCTCCTGGATCGCCTGCTGAACCATGGAAATCAGAGTATGCAGACTGCCTTTTCAAAATTACAAGAGAGAAATCTGTACTGATTCCTGTGAAGAGCAAATGATTTTTTTTCATCAACACTTCCCTAAGTTTCCATGACAGAGGTCAAGTCTTGGTCACATACCACAGGGCTCTACTGGGCCCAAAGAATCTGGTGCTACATTGAGGCTAGAACAGCCGTGGGCAAACTACGGCCCGTGGGCCGGATCCGGCCCGTTTGAAATGAATAAAACTAAAAAAAAAAAAAGACCATACCCTTTTATGTAATGATGTTTACTTTGAATTTATATTAGTTCACACAAACACTCCATCCACGCTTTTGTTCCGGCCCTCTGGTCCAGTTTAAGAACCCATTGTGGCCCCTGAGTCAAAAAGTTTGCCCACCCCTGGGCTAGAAGATACTTAATGGAAAAAGTCCATACTGCACAGAAGTCAGAAAGGTCATGAAATCTATCATAGTCTCTAAGCAGGACTCTCTGTAGTCTCCAGTAATAAGAAATTTGTGGGCT